TAAGAATATATATATATATATATATATATATATATATATATATATATTAAATTGATGAGACTTAATAATATTATGAGCGTTATTTAAAATGTTATCATATAAATTTTAGAATTTGACCAATCTTATAAATTTTATTATTTAAAGTTTAGTCAAAGTTTCATCTCATATCAGTGTGTCGCGCAAAATTTTCCATTTACGTCCAATAATTTTCATGTCAAGATTTCAAGAATTTCTCACATAAATTCTTGCCTCGAAATATTGAAACACGTTGCATCACTCCGCTATTCCATTAAATTCCGAAACACTCTTGACGAATTCATGTATCTTCAGAGAGACTCTGGATCTTGCATTAAACGTATGGTCACGATCGAAACCGAAGATGTAAAACTTGCTTAGCGTGTAGAACTAAGATACCTGTGGGGTACCATGGATTTCTTGCTCCTTGAGTTTGTCGTAATTGTTCTATGCGATGTAAACTTTGCTCGAGGTTCAAAGTTGGTATGCTTGCAGGTATGTCCGCCGTCATGCCATCAGGTATGCCCGTTGATATGCCCCCAGTTATGCTTCCAGATATACCATTGGGTGTACTTGGAGTCAGACTGTTTGGCATGCTTGCCGTGAAGTCCGCAGGTAAGTCTATGCCTGTAATAAAGTATAAATAAAGATTGTATTATATAATTATCAAAATATTCTTCTCTAGTATTAATATTCAAACGTAGAGAAAGCGATCTTACAAAATTAAAATATTTTAAAAATAATTATATTAAATATAATTATTTTATAAGTTTTAATAGTTATTTATTATTTGTAATAAATCACCATGTCGCTACGAAATCATACCTAATGGCATGTTGCTTGTCATTACGTTAGATGTCATTATGGATTTCAATGGTAGCATTGTAGAAATGTCGCTTTTAACCTCTACTGGCCAAGAAATGGGTGTGACAGGCAAAACAAGCTTCGTCTTTCCGCTCAGAAACAACGGAATATAATTGGACGATGTTTCCTGTTGTGAGAATTGTAAAGGCCAGTCGTGTTTAAGTTTCACGGGTAGCATATAGTCCGCAAAGGAGTTCTGAATACCCTTCAGTCCGCTCTTGTGCTCTTCAGAAAGAATATAGTTCAACATGGGGCTTTGAATCTCAACTTTCATATCGTTTTTCGGCGTTTCTAGAGCTAGAAATTTAAAATCGTGCTCGTTGATCTTGAGGTTACTCTTCGGTGAAAACAAATTGGAATGCATGTTATTCAATTCACTCAAAGTAGGAGGAGAAAATGTGACAGCCCCATGTTTAGTAGCATGAAAATAAATCGGTTCCGGGATCCTACATAAAAAAATCCAGATTTTAAAATAAGATAATTGCATTATTATTTTGTAAATTAATTGGTTAGCTTTGTTTTCATTTCTTAATTTGCAGATCATAAATGCATCTACAATTAGAAGATATATAATATAAGATAATAATAAATTAAAATTTAATAATTATAAGAATAATTATTAAAAAGAATACAATAAAATAATACAAAATAATGAAGTTTAATTTTGGCCTCGCAAAAATAAATATTAACGAATATAAAAATTACTTAGAAGTTTACTTATTATTATTTATTTTATTTATAAATTATTTTATTTATAAATAGTTTTTATATTAGTAAAAAACTTTTTATTATTTTAACATCATGCATTTACATTGTGATAACAAATAATTATTAAACAAAATAAAATTAATTGAATATAAATACGTCTGCATCTCATTTTAAATAATTTTATTATATTAATTTTATGCAAAGCCAATTGCAATTGCATGATGTGATGCGATTGCCTCAAATCTAATGATGTCTCTAATAATGGTATTCAAATGACATTCTTGTTCAGCAATCGAGTAACTTCACGAGTTTACATTACATATTCTGTTACAATCTTGTAACCGACCGAATAATAAAGCTCGGGCTAACCATTACGTACTTTCCGGCGAACGGTGCTATTGGTGCCGTAGCCATGACAGACGAACTGGGCTTGGTTGTTAAACTCGTTAAGATGTGACCTACAATCGAGGATTGGTTTGTGCTAACTGAGATTGATGGAACGGTTGTTGGTGAGCTGTCAACCGGCTAAAAGCAATACAAACATTTATTAGTCTTGCGCGCTGTTGATTCGTATCAAATGTACGTTTCTTCAGTACGTTCACTCTTGTTTATGCTTTATTTTATATTGTTATAATTTTCAGTTTTAATTGTATATTACAGTTATACATTACAATTATTAAAATATGAAATTATATAATAAATTAAATAATTATTTTTTAAATTTTGTACAGTAGAGAATCAATAAAAATATTATTAATTACAAATTTTACAATAAGTAAGATGTAAAATGTACGTATAAACAATAAAAATAAAAATCAAAATTAATATTAAGGAACAATATTAGAATGTATAAATACAAATTTAATATATAATTGACATTATAACGTACATGTACACGTAACATTGCAATAATTAATGTAAACGTGAAATAACTATAAAATTAGATAATATGAAATATAAAGTAATATTCAAAAATTTTTTAACTATTTTTCGTTATTTTAATTGGGAATAGATATATGTAGCAAAACTTGATAAGGTTGACAGAGTTATGACGGTTTTCATTTACAATTGCAATTATTCATCGTAAAATGGATATGTCAAAATTTTCGCGAAATAGATTGCCTTCAGTTGAGTATCAGATTCAACAGACAGGATTAAATTCTGATTATACAATATCCCGTTTTGTAAAACCGAAATATATTAACTCACAGGTTTTGCTCACCGCATTGCAGTTGATCGCCGACGTTAGTGTCGGGCCGAGTTCCATTTTGGAAGCTCTTGAGGAATGAGCTTGGTTCATACCAGAGGAAACAGAAGACATGACAGGATTAGCTCCATGCATAACGACAGGCGTTGATGGAGGCGTTATGGGCATTTCGGTGTTTGACGGAAGGACATATTCGGAAGAAGAACTCATCTGCATTGAAGATAATCCAGGCATATGATTATCTGCAAAGTAAAATATTATTATCAACATTCGAACACACACTATACTAAAAATTACCCAATTACCCATACTAAAAATTTCCCAACATTCCGACAAAACAACAATTGTTCAATATCTGAAACAAGGGAGGAAAACAAAGTTGCCTCTCATAAATAATTCATAATTTTTTAACTCGAAGGTAAATATTACACGTAAGTGACATTTAACTCGACATTTAACTTAATAGCCGAAAATTATTCTACGGTACAATAAAATTAAAGTGCCGAGGGGATAAAGTCGTCTAATGTTTCAGTTGATAAAGTGCTTTATACATATTCTAAAAAGTTTAATATTGTATTGTCGTAAAATCAATTTTGCGCTTTAAGGTTAAATAAAAAGCTTAAAAAAAAATAAATTGTCTATCAACAGAAAAAAATTACTATTGTAATATTGTATAAAAAATGTCTACATGTCTTTGAAATTGTGTAACATACATAAATCCATCGTATACATCGGAGATTTTCCGTCAAACGAAGTCAATATATCCTTATATCGTCCATACGAATCGATTGGTTTAATATAATCATCTCGATAGGACTTGATTGAGTTAGAGATGAACGGTGATTCGACGAAAGTCGCTTGTTTCTGAAACGATGCTTGTTCAGCCAAGGATGATTGTCCGTGGAATAAGTTTTTAAACAATTGTTCTTTGAACGGTGCTTGGCTTCTATACGTTGACGCTTGTCCCTCGAAGATTTCCTCTGGCGTAAGCAATTGTTCTTCTAAAGAATTGTCTCTGAAGTTCGCCCGTTCTTCACGCAATTGTCGATTCTTCAGTATTGCGTCTCTGAACAATGGTTTATCTCTAAACGACGTTATCGTAAAAGAGTTCTGTTTGATCGGCTGATGATGAAAAATTGGAAAATCGGACGGATAGATAGCTTGATCTTTCAAGGACACATCGCGAAGAGCTCGCTGGCTGACAATTCGATCTCTCGCTGCTGTTGCGGGCGAAGTTTGCGGACTGATTGTCTTGTCGATAAATGATTGATCAAGAAAGAAATTTCGTGGACGAGACTTGCGATGAGATATGACACCCGCATCAGAGAAAATGACATCTCCCTTAATTTCGTACGTTTCTGTAGACATCACCGTCATTATTACGACGACAACCTGAAGACAGATGAAGACACTCACGTTTAGAAATGTCATAATCACGTGGATGATTTTTACAAGAAGCTCACCAAGATTTGCATTTTGTATGTCATGAATGATTATTTATCTTTTTATCGCAAATAATTTTTAAAACTTCAAAACTAATTTTTATAATTAAAGTTAGTATATATTAACTTGTGGTATTTGAAAATTTTGACAGTGATATTAAATCGAACGTAGAAACCATGACAAGTGTAAGTGATCGAGAGTAACACACAGTCTTATATAGGACAAATGAACTCTTTCTCCTAGTTTTTCACCCTTCCCTTGCTAGTACGAAAGTGGTCTAGTAAAACAGGTATTTGATATACCTTTCTTCTTCTTGTATAGAATTTGAATTTATTAAGAATTTTCTATACGTGATCATTACAAGGTAATTCTATAAGTGAGTTACATATTTTATAAAAAAAACATGTTTTAAATGCAAAAATTTCTTATTTATTTAATTATTTTTTGTTTAATAGTATTATTTTTTTATTAAAAATATTGTTTACAAAATCTCATAGAGCTCTTATAAATTTCATAGATATCTAAAATGTTTAATAGAACTCAAAGATATACGTTTTTTTTAATGTTAAATCCGTAAAAACATTATTAGAAATAAAATTACTTGTATGTGTGGGTAATATATAAATATATTTTTCATATGATAAGAAAAGGATTTGTAGAATTATTATTTTTAAGCTTATTTTTAGAATATTAAAATTGTCATTAAAAGATATACATGTATTTCATACTCCTGTGATGCTCGTTTTTATACTTACTTAAATATTAAGAAAAATAAATATTTTTTTCTCCATAATCAATTTTTATTTCTTTATTATAACTATATCGAACTTTCACTAAAAATATAAGAATAGAAAATAGCTAAGAAATCTTTTTGTCAACTAGATAGGAAAGAAATAAAAATATGCCAAAAGAAGATTTGCGTTCGTTACTTTACGTTTTAAGTGCAGATGTAAGAAGAAAGCGTGTTCGCCTCGAGGTTCCACGAAGAAAATTGCTTGCAATAGAGGCGGCCAATCGCAGAGGTTGCCCTTTACGCACAGATGAATGAATTTACTTTACAAGGAATATATCATTTCAAAGGAACTCGTTTTTCGCTAGCTCTTTTGGCTTTCACCTGGAAGACAAATCGAGGAAGACGAGAGGGAACAGACTTACTGAACTTCAGCTTCAACTCCGGGATTGGAAAATGAGGAACAGGCGAAAGAAAAAGGTTAAGTGTGTCTTCTTCCAAGTGGCATGCTGCGCGAAAAAGCCATCTGCGTTTCAATGTTCGCGTGCAAAGTTTATTTTACTTGATGTCTTATAGATGCAGATCCTACTTTCTTCGAAGTGAACAGACAAGGCAATAATCGACGAGTTAGAAAAACGAGATTGGCTTTTTCTATCAGTTTTATCATGCTCTGCTCTTTATCAAAGCTTACTGTGCTCTCGATATATGCTTATTTTTTAAATTTAATCAAATAAATAGTTTTGCACAATTTTAGAAAGAAAATGAAATTATACATAATCTTATACATAATCTTTTTAAAATTTAATGTTAACCTAATTATTATTTTTAAAATGTCTATTTTTGTTGTAATAATTCAGGTTACATATTAGATAAATCAGAATTGCATCTTTTATTTTCATAAAGTATATAAAGTTATATGTAGTTATAGTAGTGTGCTTATTAGTTAAAAATATATTATCCTTTAATTTGTTATTTTTTTACTTTCCTTCTTACATATTTGATAAGCTTGATATTTATTTATAAAATGTATTTTGCTTATAATATACATTTGGTTATATTTTCATTTTTTTAGAAATCTGAGATAAGAAAATTATCACTCTGAGTACATATTGAATACAATATAATATTATTATAATATA